ATGAATCACAGGACTAATATATAGAACTCTTAAACTTGGTATGGTTAAATGGTAAGTTATTTGGGATGAAATACAAAGAGCTTCCTGATATAGTAAAGTCTGTATTGTAAAGGAACTTTATCTTTAGTCAAATAGATATGGACTGGCATTACGGGGAACTCAGAATCAGAGAATTTCCTTGAAGCAATTCAGGACTGTTTTTTAAATTAACATATAGCTGAACCAACCCGGAGGAAAAATATACTAGATGTAGTTCTGTCAAACATAAATAACCTCATTAATAGAGTTGACGTTGGGTGTAAACTACCTAACAGCGATCACAAGGAATTGAGATTCAAAATACCACTGAAGTTCCAGATTACCTTAAAGCAAACTTTGATGACGTGGAAGAAGCTAGGTGTAAATAACATGACCTGACCACCAGACATGATGTTGCCGAGTATCATAACAACTTAAATAATGAGTTGTGCACAAAGGCTGAATATACTGTATAGAAACCCCTGATCAAGTAAGTTTGACCCCAAATTAATAAGTAGTTACTTAAAGAATATTCTTGGGCAGAGAAAAGCTAAATATAAAAGAATAAAAAAAAAGTTTACCTATAGAATTGTTTTAATTAATTAAATTAAGCACACATGTAAGGAAAGATATAAGAAAGACAAAGACAAATTATGAAGTAAAAGTAGCAAGAGAGGCGGAGACTAACCCTCAGAGTTTCTTCCAAAATGTACCAAACTAAAACATGTGCCAGGACACAGGGAGCTGATAACGAAGGGAAACTTCGCAATTTTGTGAATACAAATTTTTCATTAGTTTTCACAACACGAAACATAAACATGATACCCGAGGTACAGTACCTACTATCTTCAGAGATAGTGAAGAAAATATATTAAGCGAATTAGTGCTGATAACGACGACGACGACGATAATAATAATAATAATAATAATAATAATAATAATAATAATAATAATAATAATAATAATAATAATAATAATAATAATAATAATAATAAAGAACCATAATGAAAAGAAAAAATCAATAGTGAGAAACGATATATGTACTGTATGTTGTGTTGTCAAAGTAAGAGAAACAATTGAGACCCTGCAATTGTGTGTAAATGAGGCAGAAAGTCAGATCATCAACCTGGGACTTGGTCACATATGGCAGCAAGGTCTACCATTAGACAACACATTATGCTGCCAATATCTTCCCAGGCGGTAGTACCTCCCTGTTTGATAGCTGCCTACTACCTGGTAAACATGTCATTAAAAGCATTTGTAGTACCAGAATCGATTTTCAGAAAGGGAAATAGATTACTAACCTCTAACTACAGTCCAATACATTTAACATTAACTGTAGGTAAATTACTGGAATATATCGTTACAAACCTAATTCGAACTCACCTCTGGAATCACAAATTGATTAATGACTCCCAACATGGCTTCACAAGTGGGCGTTCATGTCTGACAAATCTATTTTTCTTATTTTCAAGTGTTTTCGAATCAGTGGATGACGGACACGATTATGTGGTTTACCTCGACAGGGTCCCCCACGATGGAATAATACGTGAAGTGGTTACAGGACAGGAAACAGCGAGTCAGCATTAATGGCACCAAATCCTATTGGTGTAACGTCATTAGTGGAGTACCCCAAAGCTCAGTACTTGTGCCATTACTATTTATTATATACATAAACGACATAGATATCGGTGTAGACAGCAACATAGGTACAGTTGCTGACGACACTAAAATAGGGCTTGTAATTAAATCTGATGGGGACTCCGCAAAACTACAGGAAGATCTAAATAAACTTTTCTTGTGGTCTGTAAAATGGCAGATGAAATTTAAAGTAGAAAAATAAAAAGTACCTGGTCAAGGAGATATAAACAGGGAAACCAGATACCAGATGAACGTTGATGTTATAGAAAAATCCGACTGTGAGAAAAATTTAGGAGTAAAAATAAGTAGGAAACTTAAACCAAGTCAACAATGTGTATTTGCTCGAAACAAGGCAAACAAAGTACTTGGGTTCATACAGAGGAGTGTTAGTTACAAGACTAGCGAGGTCATCCTAAAACTATATCTTGCGCTTGTGAGACCTCGCTTGGATTACGCAGTTCAATTCTGGTCACCGTACTACAGAATGGATAAAGAATCCCTATACAGAATTCAAAGTAGAATGACAAGACTAATCCCGGGCATTAGGAATCTTGAGTACAGAGACAGGTTAAAGCATCTGAATTGCACTCCCAAGAGAGACGTAGAGTGAGGGGCGATGTGATCAAGGTGTATAAATGGAAGTCATAGAAGACAGGCAGACACAGTCCCCCAGACATAAAACCCCAAACTAGACACAGATTCCCCCCAGACAGACAGACAGACAGACACAGACCCCCCAGACAGACAGACAGACAAACGATACACTATTAACATGAAGTGATTGTCACATTATTGGTCATTAAATTTACCATTATTGTGAACTTAATGTCATTTCAATACTCACCCGAAAACCTACCTTAGTTAAATCAACATCTTTGTTTGCCATTGTCTGTCTACCTGCACTATCTATCTATCTAGTTGTGTCAGGTTAGCAGGGTTGAGAAGCGGTCAGGAGCCACAGGTGACTCAGACACCTCAAGGGGGGTTAAACACAACGCCGTGTTTACATTATGCTTACAAATCATCCGGGACCTGCCTGTACCACTCACCCGACCCTCACTCACCTTACCGTATCACCACGAGGTCAGCAGTTATCACTACGAGGCCATTGATATCACCACGAGGCCATTAACATCACCACGAGGTCAGCAGCTATCACTACGAGGCCATGAACATCACCACGAGGCCATTAACATCACCAAGAGGTCGGCAGTTATCACTACGAGGCCATTAATAGCATTCCGAGGCGAGCAGTTATTACTACGAGACCACGAGGCCAGTAGTTGTCCCCACGAGGCCATTAATATCACCAAGAGGCCATAATTATCACCACGAGGCCATGATTATCACCACGAGACCATTAATATCACCCCGAGGCCTCTTGTATCACCACGAGATCTCCTATATCATCAAAATGTCTCCTACAGTATATTACCAGGAGGCCAACCACCAGGAGGAAGTGCTCTCACCTCTCCGTTGTTGTTGTGGACGAGGGCGGACATTAGCACGGGAGTAAAGACGAGGAAATGGAGGAGACCTGCGGCGGCGTAAGAACACAGCAGTACCCTAGCACCTGTGGTCTTGTGGGCGGCGCCCTTGGGTACGTCTCCGAGGTAGATCCCCGCAGTGGCCACGACCCCACACACCAAGGTAGTGACTCCAGACACCAAACACACCAGCAGTACGCCCTCGTCAACGTAAAACTCGGGGGTCGGGTCAGGTGATGTTGGTTCCGAGGTGGACGAGGCCATGATTTAAGTGTTAGTTCTCCTGTGGTGTGTGTGAGAGAGAGAGAGAGAGGGGAGGGAGCACTCAGCCTGTCTCTGCTGTGGTGAATGTGGTAGTGACAGTTCCTCGTCGCCGTACTTCGACCTCCACTACCACGCATGTGCCCATCCATCCCCTATCACCACCACCACCACCACCATCATCGAGTAAAAACAAAGATAATGTCCATACCATGTCAGTGTGCGACTTCAACCAATCCTTTAAACCATCAACACTTTACCGTACTGTTTCACCCAACACTTATTCTATTAAGAGTTGCAACTTTTCAATAAGTCATCCTAACACTTTAGACAAACTTATAATAAATACAAGAAGCAGAAACACGTTCACTTACTGCACAGGTCAACACTTACTTTCGTATTTATAATAACGAGGCATCATTTGTGTTTAGTAATATGTGAAGTACGATGGCTTAACCCCCTGAGTACGATGTTTTAACCCCTAGAGTACGATGGCTTAACCCCTTGAGTACGATGCCTTAACCCCTTGAACACGACACCTTAACCCCTAGAGACGATGGCTTAACCCCCTGAGTACGATGTTTTAACCCCTCGAGTACGATGCCTTAATCCTTTGAATAAGGTGAACTATTCTCCCGTTTGGCTGACGTCACACAAAGGGTCAACAACTGACGCTCGTCAAGTTATATTAAAAGATTCAGTCAAGATTTACACTTGATAAACGTGATATGAAATCCTCAATCAGAGAGATCGAACTCTCTTTAATTTTTGATTGGGGAGGATGAGAATGGGCGCTTAAAACAAATGTAGAAGTGCAGCTATACACTATATTTTTACTTACTTGTATCATCTTCGCCACTGATCGGCTCGTTAGCCGCTTAGGCGGTTGGCCACGTGTCTTTTACACACTGTTGGCAAGTACTGGGCACGTACTGATTCCAAAATGTACTGTATCTGAACCTGCGTCAGTGTTGGTCAATCCTGATCTTGAAATAGCTCATACTCGGTGCCGTCACAACACTCTCTGACAGATTTTTACAAGAATTTACAACTCTCAATCCGAAAAAAAATTGCCCGCACAGTGTTCTGGACTTGTGGCTTCTTTAATCTTAAGCTGTGACCCCTTGTGGGGCGGCATCCACCAGTTCCAGGTATGAACGCTCGACTGAGATGTTTATATGCCTCAATAAGGTCACCCCTGACCCGCCAATAGTATAACCTAGGCAGTTGCAAGTGTTCTAATCTCTCTGGGTGACTGAGGTGCCGTAGTGCAGGCACCAGTCTAGTGGCCCTCCATTTGACATTTTCAATCAATTGACAATTTCTCGCATATCTCGGGGACCATACGAGGTGACAGTAGTCCAGTACTACTAGCTTAGTTCCTTGATTCACCTTCTTCTCACATCAACAGTTGTTGAAGCGTAGCAATACATCATTGCATCAACATCACCGTCCACACCCAGACAGTGAATATAGAGAACAGAAGTATTTACGGTCGGAAGTTAAAAGGGGCGGGGTGACTAAAATAGCCTAGAGCCGCCGGGAGATGCTCGGGCGAGGCTCACGCCCCTATAGCGTGCAGTGTGGCTCTGTCGTACCCCGGGGCTGCCCAAGGTATAGTGACGGTGATTGTGTCCCCCGGGGCTGCCCAAGGTATAGTGACGGTGATTGTGTCCCCCGGGGCTGCCCAAGGTATAGTGACGGTGATTGTGTCCCCCGGGGCTGCCCAAGGTATAGTGACGGTGATTGTGTCCCCCGGGGCTGCCCAAGGTATAGTGACGGTGATTGCTGCCCAGGGCTGCCAAGGTATAGTGACTGATGATTGTGTCCCAGGCTACCCAAAAGGTATAGTGACAGTGATTGTATGCCCAGGGCTGCTTAGGTGGAGTGACAGTGATTGTGTGCCCAGGCTGCCCAAGGTATAGTGACAGTGTGTACCCCAGGGCTGCCAAGGTAGAGTGACGGTGATTGTGTACCCCAGGGGCTGCCCAAGGTATAGTGACAGTGATTGTGTGTCCCCAGGGCTGCCAAGGTAGAGTGACAGTGATTATGTCCCCCAGGGCTGCTCTAGGTATAGTGACAGTGATTGTGTACCCCAGGGCTGCTCTGGAGTATAGTGACGGTGATTGTGTACCCAGGGCTGCCCAGGTATAGTGACGGTGATTGTGTCCCCAGGGCTGCCAAGGTAGAGTGACGGTGATTGTGTGTCCCCCCAGGACTGCTCTGGAGTATAGTGACGGTGATTGTGTACCCCAGGGCTGCTCTAGGTATAGTGACAGTTATGTGCCCCAGGGGCTGCCCAAGGTATTATAGTGACCAGTGATTGTGTGTCCCCCAGAGGCTGCTCTGGGTATAGTGACGGTGATTGTGTGAGGCCGCAAGGTATAGTGACGGTGATTGTGTCCCAGGGCTGCTCTAGGTATAGTGACAGTGATTGTGTGCAGGGCTGCCAAGGTGGAAATGAGCAGTGATTATGTCCCCAGGGCTGCTCTATGGTGGTGACAGTGATTGTGTGTGCCCAGGGCTGCCCAAGGTAGAGTGACAGTGATTGTGTCCCAGGGCTGCCCAGGTATAGTGACGGTGATTGTGTACCCCAGGGCTGCCCAAGGTAGAGTGACGGTGATTGTGTGTCCCCCAGGGACTCTCTAGAGTATAGTGACGGTGATTGTGTACCCCAGGGCTGCTCTAGGTATAGTGACGGTGATTGTGTACCCCAGGGCTGCTCTAGGTATAGTGACGGTGATTGTGTACCCCAGGGCTGCCAAGGTAGAGTGACAGTGATTGTGTCCCCCAGGGCTGCTCTAGGTATAGTGACGGTGTGTGTACCCCAGGGCTGCCCAAAATATAGTGATGATGATTGTGTCCCCAGGGCTGCTCTGGGTATAGTGACAGTGATTGTGTACCCAGGGCTGCCCAAGGTATAATGATGACGGTGATTGTGTCCCCCAGGGCTGCTCTAGAGTATAGTGACGGTGATTATTGTACCCAGGGCTGCTCTAGGTATAGTGACGGTGATTGTGTACCCCAGGGCTGCCCAAGGTAGAGTGACAGTGATTGTGTCCCCAGGGCTGCTCTAGAGTATAGTGACAGTGATTGTGTACCCAGGGCTGCCCAAGGTAGCAGTGACGGTAGTTATTGTCCCCAGGGGCTGCTCTGGGTATAGTGACGGTGATTATGTGTGGGGCTGCCCAAGGTAGGTGACAGTGATTGTGTCCCCAGGGCTACTCTAGAGTATAGTGACGGTGATTGTGTACCCAGGGCTGCCAAGGTATAATGACAGTGATTGTGTCCCCAAGACTGCCCAAGGTATAGTGACGGTGATTGTGTCCCCAGGGCTGCCCAAGGTATAGTGACGGTGATTGTGTACCCAGGGCTGCCCAAGGTATAGTGACGGTGATTGTGTACCCTGGGGCTGCCCAGGTGCAAGTGACGGTGATTGTGTGCAGGGCTGCCCAAGGTATAGTGACAGTGATTGTGTCCCAGGGTACCCAAGGTATAGTGACAGTGATTGTAGCACCCTGGGGAGCTGCCCAAGGTATAGTGACAGTGATTGTGTCCCAGGGCTGTAAGATATAGTGACAGTGATTGTGTGCCCCAGGGCTGCCCAAGGTATAGTGACGGTGATTGTGTCCCCAGGACTACCCAAGGTATAGTGACGGTGATTGTGTACCCTGGGGCTGCCCAAGGTATAGTGACAGTGATTGTGTCCCCAGGGCTGCCCAAGGTATAGTGACAGTGATTGTGTACCCCAGGGCTGCCCAAGGTATAGTGACGGTGATTGTGTACCCAGGGCTGCCCAAGGTATAGTGACGGTGATTGTGTACCCAGGGCTACTTAAGGTATAGTGACGGTGATTGTGTCCCCAGGGGCTACTCTAGGTATAGTAACGGTGATTGTGTACCCAGGGCTGCTCTGGGTATAGTGAGCGGTGATTGTGTTCCCAGGACTGCTCTGGGTATAGTGTTGATTGTACCCAGGGCTTATCTGGGTATAGTGACGGTGATTGTGTACCCTGGGGCTGCTCTAAGAATATAGTGACGGTGATAGAATACAGTAATAGTGTACCCCAGTATTGATACAGTAATATAGTATACCCCGGTATTGGTACAGTAATATAGTGTACCCCCATTATTGGTACAGTAATATAGTGTACCCAGTATTGGTACTGATAATATAGTATACTTGGTATTAGTTACCCAGTAATATAGTGTACCCCGGTATTGTGTACCCCGGTATTGGTACAGCAATATAGTGTACCCCGGTATTGGTACAGCAATATAGTGTACCTCGGGAAGATACTATCATTAATTTTAATCAATCCCTGAGTGTACTTCACCACTCACACACACACACACACAACACGCGACCGCATGCACAGCCAAACTCTGTACTGTAATCGTGTATATATATATATATATATATATATATATATATATATATATATATATATATATATATATATATATATATATATATATATATATATATATATATATATATATATATATATATATATATATTAACCCCAAGTTTCAGCTCTCTTAAATGTTATGGTTACACACAGGGAGCCTACTTTTAGGTGAGGTAAGACAATCCCCCTAGTTAAGACGTGTTCTAATGAGAGGTACTCCTTCAGGGGTGGGGGGAGGGGGCCCAACCCACGGCCATCACACTTCGAGGGTGTATGTACAAATCTTTGACAATTTTTAGTTTTGTTTTTTCAAAATTGTGGCCATGGTCATCGAACAGACAAACAAACATACAGACACTGTGGTTCACGTAATATATATCGACATAGTAATGTGTATAAGATTTTGGAAAGGGACAATATTTGACGTCCATCTCCTTCTCTGTATTTTTTGTAAGCAAAGGGGCGGGGCATGATCGAATGTCCCGCCCCACTGAATATAACCTTATGATGTTATCTTGCAGGAGAGGAAGATGGCTGACCTGAGCATATCCACGACGACAGGCTCACAAAACTGTGTGGAGGGTGTGAGAGTGTTTGAGGAGTACAGCCTACACCTCCTCCCTCACAACCCCGCCTGGCTCACCACTGCCCCGGCCTGGGTCACTAGTCTTTCCCTCCCTCACCACACACTGCTGGCTAACATTCAGAAGTGGTCACAAGAATTATCATGGAAAACACATTTATCGGAGGAAGATAGGAGGGGCGTGGCTCCCCCCCTGAGGGTTGGGGTGAACCAAATGTACGGGCGTCACCTGGTGGCAGCACGGGACATGAGGGCAGGAGAGGTAGTCTTGGTGGAGCCCCCGTTGTTATTAGCACTGAGGGCTAAGTCACCGCCCTACTGCTCCAGGTGTTACAGACGAGCTGAACACTTTACCTGTCCCGGGTGCGGCTTCTTTTTGTGTGGTGTAGAGTGTATGACGGAGAGTCACCAGGAGGAGTGCGCCGTCTTCCGACGATTGGGTCTGGCTGATCCGCCTCAAGATGAAAGACAGAAAGAGGAAGAACTTATGTGTGAGCGAGTAGCTGCCATGCCTTCTGAGCAGCGGGCCCAGGCACAGGCGCTCCTGCAGCAGGCACGCAAGACTGCCTTACAGCAAAGACGTTTAGATGTTCTGCGTCAGTACATGGTGCAGCCCGCCGTGCGGACACTCCTCACCATGAATCAGAGTGACTTAAAGAGAAAACTTATTCTGTCACTGCAAGGAAACTCAGATACGGGATCACAGCGTTACAGAATTAACCAGAAGCGTATTGTAGATGTAGTAATAAACCAGCTGCAAGCTGCCACAGACCCGACACTTGTGCATCAAGTGTGTTCCGTGTGGGACACTAACGGCTTTGAGGTACCACTGGGTTGGGGCACTCGCGTACACGGCCTCTACCCCCTTGCCTCTCTGCTGACCCACGACTGTCGCGCCAACACGCAGCAGTGGTTTACCGCCGACGGTCACCTGGTGCTGAGGGCCGTCGATCACATTCCCGAGGGCTCCGTCCTCACCACCTGCTACACCGACCCTCAGTGGGCCACCCTTCTCCGCCAGGACCATCTGCGGGTTTCCAAGCAGTTCACCTGTACCTGCACACGTTGCCTAGACCCCACCGAGATGGGCACCTTCATGGGGTCTCCACTGTGCCAGGGCTGTGGTGGACCTCTCGTCTCCTCCGCTCCTCTGGACCCAAAATCTGACTGGATATGTCACTCCAGGTGCCCACACACCGCCACGGCCAAGGAGGTACACCTTACTGCCCTGGGTCACCATACTTAAGAGTCGTGCATTAATTTTCTTCCCTGACAGAGATCAAAGAGAGCTCATCTAGTACTGGTAAAGACTCGGAGTAATTTCAGAGCCATTTTGTTCACCACGTTTGTTTTTAAGTGATACATGTGCTCTTGGGTCTCCAGTAAGTGGAATTAATAATGCACATAGTCTGAGAAATGGAACCAATTTTGCATATAGTTTTCCATGTTTTGATTTGCCTTGTAGTGAGAGGTGTTGAGCTGCGTCACCAGCCAGCACCGGTGCTACTTCACCACCTCCTCCATGTATACGAGTTTGTCTTTCTAAACCTGTCATGTTGTACAGCAGCTTTATCCCTCATATTCCAACCTGCCTCCTGCCTCCCCTAAACCTGCCCCACCTTCACATTTCTTCTCTACACCTTCATCCCCTACGCCTGCCTCCCCTACACCTGGCCCACCTGCCTTCCCTACACCTGTACCGCCTTATCAGTCTCACACACCTGTTTAAGTAACTCTCAATATTACTCAGTTTTATTATATTAGATTAAGTTTCAGGTAACTCAGTTGTGTCTATATAAATGATTCCAACTTACAGTATGTAAGCATTTCCACCGTACTGAAAAGTGCCTCCCCCCACACACACACGTCACTGATAAACGGATATAAGTATCTCTGGCAGTATATCCCTCAAGCAGATGTGAACATGACTAAATGCAAAGTGTGCGGCCAGACATACTGCCTCACACTCCTGTACTTACGCAGTTGCGAATAAGTTACCCATTGTGTACAAAACTAAACAAAAGAATTTATGTGAAATATTCTGTAACATTCAGTGCCGTAATATCCTGACCACGGGGGGTTAGTTATATTGACCCTTTGTGAACTCTACTCTGTAATCCTTTTGCGCTACCGCTCACAGGATGAGTATGGGGATGCACAATAAACTAGCCGCTGTACGTGGCAAAATTAAAAAAAATAATTAAAAACTATATACGATTTATTAGTTACTTAATAAGTATTGTTATGACCGTGGATGCAGGCGGCGGGGGTCGGGGCGCAGGTGGGTGGGAGTCTCCGCGGCTTGAGTCCCACAGACGCCGCAGCACTCAACGCCATGGCTAGTCATCTGAAGTCCACACTCTACCCGACACATCACGTCCTCCTCCAACTCCACGTCTCCACCCTCGGGACCATCGTCAACAAAGACCTCTCTGGTGAGCATCATCTATTTTCAGCTCTGTATATTACCTTGTTCCCCGTGACCGTGTTGTTTATGCCATTAAGTCACATAATGTACTCGCTGGATTTCATCTTACTGTTATGTATGATACATTTATATTCAATTTATCATAAAATAATAAAAATAAGCAGTACAGTATGGCACAGATTTCATCGTGCACGCGTTCCATTCACTCCCTCAGCAGTGTACATTATATCCACCTCAGAGCAAAAATAAGGAATGGCCTTAACAGGTGTGTTTATGTCCTTATTTGGATTTTCGTGGGGGGGAGGGGGGTCTCGCTCTCCACAGATACTTCAAATTGTCGTAAATGGTAACTACGTCAATAAAAATGTAAAATTCCACTAAAAGTGACTGAATTAAGGTAGTACAGTAATAATGTCGGGGAGTGTACGATAATTTGATGAAGAAACGATAATTTTGAGGCTCCAGTACGATAATTCACATTTGAAAATTTGTCAACACTGACTGCGAAAGTTGCTTATACAGACTCTTTTGAATAATTAAAGTTATTAAAGTAACGAATGAAAAACTAGTTTCTCAATTTTCCTATTTAATTCAAGAGGAAATTGTTTTATATTTTTTAGATTTAGAATTTATATGAAGGAAGGAGGGGGGGGCGTGGAGATGAGGACCAACTGCTATGGGGAGCGCGACCCTAAAAAGGTTAAGAACCACTGGTCTAGACGTCTCATCACCCCCTTCCCCTTAAGTCGTCCTGTTGCCCCTTTCCTCCCAGCATCAGATTACTCAAAGCGTCTCTATAAATACACTAGTTAATCATTCACCTCTCTAATCTATAACCTTTAAAAAATGAACGTCTAAAACAAGGGTTACGTTCTCCTTGAGTGCCATATATTTTCAGCCCAGGGTGAGACACGGCGCCAGTACTACCAGACGCGGGTTACTTCTCCTCCCTTCCTCACACAATAAAAACCTGTACTAGTAATAAGTTGGTGGTGATTCATATTGTGCTTCCCACTCTACAGAGATGCCTGTTGAGGAGATAAGGACTTTAGCAGCCATCTCCAGCTTGGTGACGGGCGTGATAAAGCAGGTGGAGGCCCCACTTACTAGGCTCACAGGTCAGTCACCATTCACACAGGTCAGTCACCCTTCACACAGGTCAGTCACCATTCACACAGGTCAGTCACCATTCACACAGGTCAGTCACCATTCACACAGGTCAGTCACCATTCACACAGGTCAGTCACCATTCACACAGGTCAGTCACCATTCACACAGGTCAGTCACCATTCACACAGGTCAGTCACCATTCACACAGGTCAGTCACCCTTCACACAGGTCAGTCACCATTCACACAGGTCAGTCACCATTCACACAGGTCAGTCACCATTCACACAGGTCAGTCACCCTTCATACCTCGAATCATCTCTAGAAATCCTTATTTTTTCTTCAAGGTAGATGTAAAGCTGTGCTGGTATTAACGTAAATGCAGAAAACTTTGTGTTAATATATGCTGGAATGTTGTAATGAATGAACGAACCTGTATAGCTGTAACTAGTGTGTATGTGTTGTGTTGCAGTGAGGATGGCCAGGGAGGAGGTGAGACTACAGCTACAGTTGGCACGACGTGGCCATGGAGATGAACGCCTCGCCTCCAAGAACAAACTCAAGGTAAAGTGAATTCCTCCGGGATTATCAGTCTAGTTCACTTGTGTTGCGTGCGTCTTCTAGTGAGTCTCTCTGCCACGAAGAGTATAATTAGTTCATTATGTTTTCATGTTTCACAATGTCAGTGAGACTAGTGTGTAGGTCATGGGTGTTCTATAGTTAATATTTAATCATAGTTAATAAATAAACACCAGCATTTAGTGATAAGATCATATATAACGATCTGTAGAGACCTACCACTGATGAGACATAATGGTAATGTATAAAGCTTAGACTAAAGGAATGAACGACAGAATGCGTGTGAAATTTGGTCGTCTCAGAAGCTCCAGCTTGGTGTGTAGAGGCACTTTTATAACAGTTCCAAAAGCTTGCATGCTTTAAGCTTATTCGTTAAATTTTTGTCCTTCAGGATGTCAGAATTGATAATTAAGAGGACATGGTTATAGTTATAGTTCAGTCATAGTACAACTAGAAGACTTGCCGCAAGGAGTAAGGCGGTCACCCCCTGCCTCCTACAGCTGGTCATATAACCTACATAATGTGAGAAGTAGTTATATGCTATCCTTCCCTATATAACTACAACAGGCTTAATATGTACAATGATCAATATCCTTCCCTATGTAATCGTGATAGCATATATGTATACTGTACTGTACCCAGAAATTTGCCGCCAAGGATGGTGGTGGGGGGGGGGGGCGAACTTTGAACTAAATGTATCGAGGTATTTTTGAAATACGAGATAATTAATATTTTTCTATACGTTCATGATGAGCTTACCATTCAATTAGTGAACAGTAACATCCGGTCCACTAGTAAATAATTTTACCTCTCCATTATTATCGATAATATGGTTAATAAACAACTTTGGAGCATAAATAAACAACAAGGAAAAAAGTGCTAGCAAAGTGCAGAGCTTGTTTACAAAATTAACGAAGTAACGTGTAGTTACTATTAATAATTTCTTATTTCAGTACAAGTAAAAGTAGTCGTCTGGAAAAGTGATTAGTTACAAGTAGATTACTGGAAAAACTACTTAGTTACTGTAATCGATTACAAATACTTCGTTACTTGCCCATCACTGCTGTGGACCGAACTTTACAGACGGAGCAGTGGAACCCACCTTACTCTTTGTCCTAACATACACTTTTATTGGTGTTTCAAAGTCGTGTCAAGGTTATAAGGTTAGGTTAGGTAAGGTCAGGTAAGGTTTGGTTAAGGTTAGGTTAGGTTAGGTAAGGTTTGGTTAAGGTTAGGTTAGGTTAGGTAAGGTTTGGTTAAGGTTACATTAAGGAAAAATTTAGATGAAGGTTAGTTTAGATTAAATATAGATTAGGTTACGTTACGTTACTAGGTTAAGGTACAACCTCTATTATACAGTTGAAAGGAGGAAATTCGTGCACTTCCATCACCTCTCCTCCCAATATTTATAAACAAACATTTTACCTCGGGTCTACAGGGGTTGTCGAGGCAGGTGGCGGACTGTGAACTGGTGTTGGGATGGGATGACCGGATGCCGCCATTTTCAGCCGTCCTGCGTGACTACCAGGCGCTCATGGAGGAACAGTGAAGGTGAAACGATAGTAATGGAACAGTGAAGGTGAAACGATAGTAATGGAACAGTGAAGGTGAAACGATAGTAATGGAACAGTGAAGGTGAAACGATAGTAATGGAACAGTGAAGGTGAAACGATAGTCATGGAACAGTGAAGGTGAAACGATAGTCATGGAACAGTGAAGGTGAAACGATAGTAATGGAACAGTGAAGGTGAAACGATAGTAATGGAACAGTGAAGGTGAAACGATAGTAATGGAACAGTGAAGGTGAAACGATAGTAATGGAACAGTGAAGGTGAAACGATAGTAATGGAACAGTGAAGGTGAAACGATAGTAATGGAACAGTGAAGGTGAAACGAACAGTGAAGGTGAATAGGGAACAGTGAAGGTGAAACGATAGTAATGGAACAGTGAAGGTGAAACGATAGTAATGGAACAGTGAAGGTGAAACAGTGATAGTAAATGGAACAGTGAAGGTGAAACGATAGTAATGGAACAGTGAAGGTGACGAGATAGTAATGGAACAGTGAAGGTGAAACGATAGTAATGGAACAGTGATGGTGAAACGATTGTGAAACGATAGTAATGGAACAGTGAAGGTGAAACGATAGTAATGGAACAGTGAAGGTGAAACGATAGTAATGGAACAGTGAAGGTGAAACGATAGTAATGGAACAGTGAAGGTGAAACGATAGTAATGGAACAGTGAAGGTGACGAGATAGTAATGGAACAGTGAAGGTGAAACGATAGTAATGGAACAGTGATGGTGAAACGATAGTAATGGAACAGTGAAGGTGAAACGATAGTAATGGAACAGTGAAGGTGAAACGATAGTAATGGAACAGTAATGAAGGAACAGTGATGAAGGAACAGTGATGGAGAAACATGCAAGGTTAAAAGAACATTTTCTGACACGGATAGCAAGGTTTTTTTTTTATGTATATATTTGGTTCCAATATCGTGTAACTCTTGTAAGTTTAAATAAAGTTATTTTGATTCTATTTTGAAAATGTTATATACCGAAGATATAATAGACTGTTGTTATTTTCTTTACCTTGATAACATTTTCACGGTTATTATTATCATTCGTTAGCATCATCTTTAGTTCTTTCCCTCACACACACACACACACATTATAATGACATATAAATGGATAGTTTTGGACTATTCTACCTGGAACGTGATATCTCTGCTGCCTTATAATAAACCTAATATCCAAACACTTGCTTGAAACCACGATGGTACGGGAAAGGTTCTGCATCAGAGCGAGGGAGGGTTATATTAAGTCACCTTCACACCTCATCACTAACTCATCTCTTGTACAGGTAATCCTTTGATGATTTCCACATTTCTTATTTCCTCACCCACGTGATATATCTTCCTCCCTTACTGAATTTTAAAACTTGTCCAAGAACAACAACAGATTGGTGGGTTTTCCTGATTGATCGTCCTCGTCAAACCAAAGTCCAGCCGCTCGTCTTCTGTTTTGTGCGTCACCGAGAGCCAGTAATTCCTGTCTGAGCAAAACAGAACCCAAGACCAAATAAACACTTAGAATATAAGGATTTTTTTTTTATCATGGAGGTGGGGACGATGTAAATATTTGCAATTAAGATAAAATGGTTACCATTTTGGGATTAAGTAACGATGGTGTGTTATCCAGGTTTGTTGTAAGGTGCATGGACCGGACAGAATACCCCCTCATGTTCTGCGAGACTGTGCTGAAGTTCTGGCCCCTGTGCTTCCTCGCCTCTTTCGCCTTTGCCTCAAAACCCAAACTTTTCCTTCTTCTTGAAAGCATGCCTCGGTTCAGCCCATCCCGAAGAAGGGTGACCATTCTAATCCCTCTAACTATCGCCCCAGTGCCCTAACTTCATTCCTCTATAAGATTTTCAAAACTATCTTAAACTCTAATTTTTCTGTCACCTTGAACGCCTTTCTCTTTTGTCGGATCACCAGTATGGCTTTCGCCAGTCGAGATCTACTGGTGATCTGCTTTCGTACTGCACCCATCTCTGGGCATTATCTCTTAGGGATTATGGGGAAACTTTTGTCGTGTCCATCGGCATCTCCAAAACATTTGTCAGGGTATGGCACAAGTCTTTGTTTTCTAAAATTCCCTTTTATGGTTTCTCTCCTTCACTTTGTTCTCGAATCTCTAGCTTCCTTGAGAACCGATCCATGGCAGTTGTTGTCGAGGGATCGATCTCTCGCTCTTTCTCTACCAATATTGGTGTCCCACAGGGTTCTGTTCTTTCACCTACTCTCTTCCTTCTTTTTATCAATGATTTGCATCACACTACGACTAATTATATCCATTCTTACGCTGATGATTCTACTCTTCACATTTTTCCCTCCCCCCTAATTCTCACACTAGATCTGTTTCTAGAGCTGATATCATTTCATTTATCAACGCGGATCTGTGCAGCATCTCCGAATGGGGAAGGTAAAAACTTGTTTAAATTCAATTGTAATAAAATACAATATTTACCAATTACACTTTCCAAATTAGATTATCTCCCACCAATCACATTTCAGGACGCAATCATTATATCAAATTCTAAAATAGATATGCTAGGCCTCACCATTTCCTCCAATATGTCATGCAAACCACACATCCACAAAATTACTAAAGCTGCCTCCCGAAAGTTGGGAATGCTCTACAGATGCCGTAGCTACTTCACTCCTGAGCAGTTGCTTCAAGTATATACGGGATTCATTCGTCCTAACTTGGAGTACTGCTCTCATATCTGGATGGTGGTTCTTCTTTCCAACTGTTAGATAGGGTGGGATCAAAGGCCTTTCGTCTTATTAACTCTCCTCCTTTAGTTGATAATCTTTCTTCCCTTTCTCTTCGCCGCAATGTTGCTTCACTCTCTCTCTTTTACAGGTACTTTAACGGGCAATGTTCGGTGGATTTGGCATCCTGTGTACCGCCGGCAAAGCCGTGGGCTGGTAACACACGTCTTGCCCGCGGTGCCCACCGTTTCTCTGTGGATGTCGGTCACACGAGACTAACCCGTTATAGTACCTCCTTCTTTCCTCACACAGCCAAACTGTGAAATGCTCTGCCTTCTTCTCTGTTCCCATACTCATACAATCTGTCTCACTTTAAAAAGCTGGTAGTAGTAGGCAGTTACCAAACAGGGAGGTTCTACCGCCTGGGAAAATATTAGAAGCATAATGTGTTGTCTAAAGGTAGACCCTGCTGCCACATGGCATCACGAAAATTGTGACCAAGTCCCAGGTTGCTGATCTGACTTTCTGCCTCATTTACACAAAATTGCAGGGTCTCCATTGTTTCTCTTAACATTGACAACACAACACATATATATTGTTTCTGACTCTTGATCTTTTTTATTTTACTTCTTTATGGTTCTTTATTATTATTATTATTGCAGTGTTATTATTATTATTATTATTATTTTTATCATTATTATTTTGATTTTGATTTTTGTATTTTTTTTCAATTTTACTTATCTGAATTATTATTATTATTACATTTTCGCCCCCCAGGCCCTGATGTGGGTCAGTGACCTGTGCCCGGGTGAGCTAATCCCCGTAAAAAATAAATAAATAAATAAATAAAAAATTTTTACAGTAGTCCTGGCGAAGGGGAAGCTTGTCACCTCACCCCGCCTGCATTTCACCGAGTGATTAGGGGAAATAGTCTACTAAATAAAAATGAAATTTAGCAAAAAAAAGGGGTTCTGAAATTTATCTAACACGTTACCTTTTGTTACATTAACGTTTAGTGTCACTTATCCACTGTCTCCCTACACCCATTACGTAACTCCGGGAATTTCCCCACCAAGTAAAGCTTGAAATAATTTTCCTACTTTGGTTTTAATATTTTTATCGTTTTTAATAGCGGGAATAAAACAAATCGTTTAAACTTTCAGAAATTAAAACAAAAAATCGCGATGTATGAATAATGTTGTTAGCGCTCATTGATGAAGATTAATGTAGAATATTAAAAAGTCGTAAAGAAGAGAGAAGTATGGCAGTCTCGGTCTCAGCTGAGGAATGTTGGTGGTCGAGAGGGAGGCAGTGGGATTCCCACCCAGAAACCGGTCGTCCTATTGTCGTCGCACACTCCTTGTCCTCAGTCAGACGAAGCCAGCCAGTAAACACACGCGAGGATGTTGGTGGCCCTGTTGTTTGTGGTGGTGGTGGTGGTGGGCGGCCAGCTTGGGGTGACGGCTCTTAGCAGGGCAGAAAGTGACCGGGGCGTGCAGGAAGGGGTGGAGGAGGTGAAGCAAACACTGGCGCAACACTCTCAGGCTCTACAACTGCTACTCAACGTTACCACTCGCTTACTCACTCAAGGTAAAGTCACTCATAAAACTATCTTTACTGGAGGGGGGACATGAATTTCACAATGAACACTGCGACTCCTGTTATCTCGGTAGGGTTGTCAAAATCCTTCGTCTCATCGCGTCATATTTTCTCAACACAGTTTTGTAAAGATAATTTTTTACAGTCATCTACCAAAGTACGTTTGCACCCCCTGAACCACGGACCCCTCCCGAGATTCAGACTCATGAATCCGAAGCATTTATGGACAGAATAATCATTAATGTATCAGTCTACTGCTTCGGGTTCACGAGTCTGAATCTATGGGTTTGTGGTTCAGGGGGCGAGACGAACGTACTTTGGTAGTTGACTGTACAGTAGCTATGTAAGAACCGCACGCAGCCTGTCCAGTTGGTAAGCGGGGCGGAGACCAACCAATCGTAAAGCGTTCTGTCTTAAGGCTGAAAAAAAACACAAACAGGCTCCATGGCGACCTACGATTCAAATCCTTTGTCTATTTCACGCAAGAAAAAAAAAGCTTCGTAAAATAGCCAAGCGACTTGATCCTGAGCGTGAAACTCAATATATTTTGGAGATAGACTGGTCAAAGCCTGCCCACGCTCAGGGACAGACAAAGGGTTCAACACCTTCAGTCTCTCATGCCGAGTCGTGTGAATAATTGAAACATGTGTGATATGTTACTATATTAATCATCATACTACGACACTCAACTACTGTGTATGCAACTTCATAGACAGGTGTGATAAGTATATCAATCGTCATACTACAACCGTTGGGCGACACAAAGTCAAATGTACAGTCAACCAAAGATGCATCGACTCCACCCTGACTCTCGTAACCACAATTATATCTGGCAATACTTGGGGAAGTAAAGCTGTACTGTATGTAATAGGGGAATGTGATCGGCTATATCAGTGTCATTATTAATATTAAACAATCCAAAGGTATAATTTTTATAATAATAAACTATTCGGCATTATTTAAAATCAAGAGAAGTTTCTAAATGTTCACATATTTGCTTAAATAATGAAGAAATTTAATGTGTAGTTGAGTTGACAATTCATTAACATATATATATATATATATATATATATATATATATATATATATATATATATATATATATATATATATATATATATATATATATGCTGATAACCACAAGGAAAGAAGAAAACACGAAGTTCCCAAGCGCTTTCGTGTAATTCACATCTTCAGGGGTGAGTACAGACTAAGGAGAAGTACAAAACAAGGTGTATATATACAGAGGAGGGTGAGATCAGGTCCACAATGGTCAGGTATTAGGTAATGACCTTACTGAGCTTTAAAGAGCACCGCAACGGTTGGTAGTCAGGATTTTACGTGCTTTGAGAATTTGCAGCCCGGAATTCATTGATGAGGAATATAAATATATCTATAATATTGGCTCAAACCTTAAATACCCTAGATCTTTCATAGACAAATGCCTGAACATTACTAAGAAATCTTTTTATAGAACTGATCCCAAGCCCACCCATGACCATAAGAATCTCTTAGTATTACCATTTCACAAAAATTTATCTCAAATTCCTTTACAACTAAAAACCTGGAACGTCAATGTGGCATTTAAAAACTCATGCACTGTTAAACAAATGTTAATCAAGAACTCCCCCAACAACACAATTGGTTGCATTTATAAAGTTCCTTGCAAGGAATGTAATATGTTTTACTTAGGCCAGACAGGTAAAGATCTTGTAACTAGACTTAAACAACATAAATATAGTGTTAGGACAGGCCAGGAATCCAATGCTCTGTTTGTTCATTTGAGGGATAATAAGCATTGCATTGACTGGGATAATGCCTCCTCAATATTACCTTGTAATTCAATTGACAGTAGGAACATTATAGAATCTAGTCTCATTAAACATACCGAAGCAGTCAACATGAATTTGAGTAATGGCATGTACAAACTGGACAATTTTGTAATTAAGAAGATTTGTAACCAGGTGAGAAGGTTGGGTCACCTTACCCTCTGACCTTAGTTGCATGCCATTACCTGACCTGACCATACCTGATATATATATAGTCTGTACTCACTGACTGAATATTATTATATATATATATATATATATATATATATATATATATATATATATATATATATATATATATATATATATATATATATATATATATATATATTAATAATAGGCAGTGTGTCTGATGATCTGCGTAATGCCGCCAGACTGATGCATAGGCCTACATTTTATAATTATCATGTACGCAAAATTAGGTATTATTTTAATGACAAGTACTGAAGTCATTATTTAGCACTTAACGACCTAATAATAATAATATTTATAATAATAATAATAATAACATTTATAATAATATTAATATTTATAATGATAATAATAATAATTATAATAATAATAATAATATTTATAATAATAATTATAATAATGTTAATATTTATAATAATAATAAAAAAGATCGTGAGTGTCCTCCGCCATTCCGACGTGTGATGAACGAGTGCTTCTTCCCCGGTAAAAACCCGCTGACCTGGGATGAAGCGCGCCAACACTGCCGTGGTATGGGCGGGGACCTGGCCGCTCCTGAGCACCTCTACGCCCTCAAGAGCTTCTTCGCCACAGGTCAGTAGGATTTCTCTCACCTCTACCCAGAAGTGATTAAGGGAACATTCGTACACAACTCTCTCTCTCTCTCTCTCTCTCTCTCTCTCTCTCTCTCTTAGCTTTTGTCTTTATTCAAGACATCTGCAGAGGCAACTGAATTACATGGACGGAGAGAGGCTTAAGTACACAGGGTGACCTTACTAAAAAAAAAATACCATACAGAAAAATTAGGTCAAATAAGAATGAGCAAAGGTGGATGACCAGAAAACTTAAACATGACATAGGAATAAAGAAAGGAATTTATAAGAAATTAAAGGGAGGGGAGGAGCAGCTCAGAAATAGGTATAATGAACTATCTAGGAATGTTAAGAAAAATGTAAGGAAAGCAAATAGAGACTATGAAATCAGGATAGCAAGAGAATCCAAGGCGAATCCGAAGGGATTTTTCAAGGTATATAGGACAAAGGTCAAGGACAAAGTTGGGCATTTAATGTCAGGGAGGGGGGAAGTGATCGATGACAGTGAGGAAATAAGCAAAGCATTAAACAGCTACTTTTTATCAGTTTTCACAGAAGAAATACACGAGGAAATTCCAGAGGTGGAACTGATATTTGGGGGAAATGAAGAAGACAAATTAAAGAATATCACTATCAGAAAAGAGGATGTTCTTAAGAAGAAAATAAATTAAAGAAGACAAAATCCTCAGGGCCGGATGAAATTTTCCCTCGAGTTTCGAAAGAGTGTAAGGAACAGATTAACGGACCCCTAGTAAATTTATTTACAGAATCATAAGACACGGGAGTTGTGCCAGACTTGTGGAAACAGGCAAATGTAGTACCCATATTCAAAAAGGGAGACAGAGCATCAGCGTCAAATTACTGGCCGATTAGTTTGACGTCAGTAGTGGAAAAATTTCTTGAATCAATTATAGCAGATAGCATCCGATCGCATTTAGAGAAAAGCAAATTAATCTACGACTCTCAACATGGGTTTACAAAGGGAAAATCTTGTCTAACAAATCTGTTGACGTTTTGTAGGAAAGTCTTCGAGGTAGTAGATAATGACGAAAATTACGATGTCATTTGCTTAGACTTTAGCAAAGCGTTTGACAGAGTACCGCATCAGAAACTTCCGAGAAAAGTTAAGGCTCATGGTATTGAAGGGAAAGTTTTAAATTGGATAAAATCATGGCTCACCGATAGAACACAGAGGGTAAGCGTAGATGGTGTTAAATCTGAGTGGGGTTGTGTAACCAGTGGGGTTCCCTAGGGGTCAGTACTGGGCCCACTCTTGTTCATAATCTACATAAACGATCAAGATACTGGGATCAGCAGTGACATAAGCAAATTTGCAGATGACACCAAAATAGGGCGGCAGATTAATTCAGGGCAGGATGCAAATGCACTACAGGAGGATTTAAATAAACTGCAGGATTGGTCAGAAAAATGGCAAATGAAATTCAACACCAGCAAGTGCAGCGTACTTAATATTGGAAGAACAAATACTGTCAATGTATACAGCCTTAACAACATCAACCTAGAGAAATCGACTTGTGAAAGAGACTTAGGGGTACTTGTAAGCCCGGATCTATGGCCTAGAAAACAGTGTGTTAATGTTCGAAATAAGGCAAACAGAGTATTGGGTTTTATATCTAGAATTGTAAGAAATAAGAGTGCAGAGGTCTTATTGCAACTATAGCTTGCGCTAGTCAGGCCGCACCTCGATTATGCTGTTCAGTTCTGGTGCCCTTATTATAGAATGGATATCAATTCACTGGAGTCGGTGCAGTGAAGAATGACGAAAATGATTCCGGGACTTAGAAACCTTCCATATCAAGATAGGTTAAAGAAACTAACCTTGCATTCCCTAGAAAGACTAAGAACATAAGAACATAAGAATGGAGGAAACTGCAGCGGGCCTATTGGCCCATACTGGGCAGTCCCGTTTACACCCAACCCCTATTGCTCATATGAGCATCCAACCTATGTTTGAAGCAACTCAGCGTATTCGAGTTAATGATGATATTTGGTAACTTGTTCCATTCATCCACTACTCTGTTTCCAAACCAGTGTTTACCTATTTCACGCCTAAATCTAAATTTGTCTAATTTAAAACCATTGTTACGAGTTCGCTCCTGGTTGGATAGTTTGAGTACCTTTGTAATGTCCCCTTTGTTTAGCCCTGCCTTCCACTTATACACCTCTATCAGGTCGCCCCTCGCTCTACGTCTCTCAAGGGAGTGCAAATTAAGATGCTTTAACCTGTCTCTATACTCAAGGTTCCTAATGCCCGGGATTAGTTTTGTCATTCTCCTCTGAATTCTTTCCAAGAGTGCGGGGAGATATGATAGAAGTATTTAAGTGGGTGAAAGGAATCATTAAAGGCGATATAGATAAAGTTCTTATAATATCCGAGCAGGATAGGACTCGTGGCAACGGATTTAAGTTGGATAAGTTTAGGTTTAGGATCGAGATAGGAAGGAACTGTTTCACAAATAGGGTGGTGGACGAGAGGAACAAGCTTAGCAACTTTGTAGTAAGTACTGGAACGCTGGAAAGTTTTCAAAGGAGGCTAGATAGATTCATGGATGATAGAGAGTGGTAGTAACTCTCGACAGGAGCTGCCATGCACAGGCCAACCGGCCTATTGCAGACTCCTTATGTTCTTATGTTCTAAACATGAGGTCAGGTCATAATCATGACATCCATTAATCTGCACACCAACACACACGCAGAGGAGCTTAAGAGAAAGGGCGACGTGACTTGTCAAGTTAAGTCAGGTAAAAAATATGGGACCCAGTAATTATCTATCCTACATCTAACTCCAAGGCTTTCAAAGCATTTTTAACCTTGGGCCACTGACAAATAAATTTGTGTAACATATTATCAGTTTTGTACTGACCATCACTAAGATTTATAGAATTTAATTCCCTGATCAAACTAGCTTCAACCAGAAGTCTTTCTGTGACACATGATGATTTGTACACCTCTAAGCTGTTTTCCCAATCAATGGGATGATTATTATTCCTAACATGAAAGAACAGTGCACTGCTTTCAGATGCTGTTCTGATATTGTACTTGTGCTGTTTGATCCCGAGTTGCAATGCTTTCCCAGTCTGTCCTAAATAATTCCCACTACAGTTGCTACATGGAATACATTAAACACTTCCATTTACTGTACATTTAAAGTTGGGCTATTCTTGATTAATATATTGGTAATAGTAGAGTCATACTTAAAACCAACATTAATATTTAATAATTTAAGGGACTGAACTAACGGGACAAATTCATTGCGATAAGGCAGAGTCAAAATATTCTTAAGTGTAGGAATTTGCCTGGTTTGAGTAGGATGTGTTTCAGTTCTTCATCAATAAATTCAGCGTCACAAATACGCAAACATCTGAAAAACATAGCAGAAAAAACTGACATTTTGGTAAATTCCAGGTGACTCGATAAAAAATGTATGAAACTGTCTACCTGTGTAGGCTTTCTGTACACCTTAAATTTATAGTTATGACCATTTCTAATGATAAGCACTGCACAAAAACTTGGGTACCCTTCATTGTTTGTTGATCATTGTTTTAAAAGGTACTGTGAGAGAATGAAGTATCTTCCTAGCTTTGACCGAAGTATAATGAAACCTGACTACCCAACACGTAAATGGTGTTACTAGCACCACTTTCCTAGGCTCCACAGGCAACTGTTTGTCTCGACGCATGCATGTGTCGAATGGTTCAGCCGTTCTGTGATTTGTTTGTTAAAACCCCGGGGAGATACTTCAGTCTCCCACTCGTTGATTACAGTCAGCCCAGTGATCACACTAAATTAACCAAGTGAATATATATCTTGAGAACGATGACTTAACCCTTTGAGTAGGATGTCTTAAGTGAGTGCCATGTGTGACACTATTGACAACTTATAAGCACATATACTTATTACGAGTATATATGGCACTTTATAGCACGGTTGATCCTCAGAAATGAGTTACCTCTGGATTGGTGGCACCAAGGACATAGTGGAGGACCAGTGGCGCTGGGTGACGGGTGAGGCACTCAGGCCAGGTGATTGGTGCCGGGGGTCGCCTGAGATCACGGTGGGAGCCCGGGACTGTATCTACATGGAATTAGACTGTCATCCGCCCCTTCGCTCAGGGTCTTGCCTAGGCAGCAGGAAGTACATCTGCCAGTACCGTCCCTGAAGTGTTAGGGACCATCCCTGGAGTCACTACAGCACGACACTCCTGGGCCGCTAGTGTGTGACTGTTTAATTCAAAGTGAATGTTTGTAAAAAAATTATTATGTGCGATGATTATTTACCAATAAAATTATTATTATAAATAATTGTTTCTGCCTTTTACCTTGTGTTTTTTATAAGAGTGACTGTTTTATAACCTTTTACAATTATTACCTTATGTACACGGGTGATATACAGTAAAAGTATATAGTATTCTATTCTTTGCGGGTTATATCCCAATTCAGTAATTGACCCTCAGACTTCACGTTTACTTATGATTTGGATAATAATGACGATAACTTTTACCAGCAAAATCGTGGTCATGATACTAAAGGTTACTATATTATGACACGGCCAGTAACACTGACTTTACTTGGTCCATTAAGCTTTAAGACTTAACCTGTAAAAGTAGAGGCCGCTAAATACCAGTGATAGACGCTCTCGTGTTTCTCTTCCGCCCCAATGTCTCTGAACATGAAGGAGACTTTGAGAATGTTACAAATAATTAACTCTCACGATGGTTGAGAGATCATTCACAACTCAAAATTTTTCCCAAATGTATAAACTGTACACCTGGGGGGTTACAATTCTAAATGTTCTGAAATCTGACGAGGCTTTAGGGGATCAGCACCACGACTTTCCTGATGGCAGTTCTAATGTTGATCTGTTATATCTCCGCCAATCCAGCCACCAACAGACTGCACCGACAAAGCCGTTGCAGAAGCTCTCAACATTCCCAAAACATTAACAGATTCTGAAACGGATTCTTCCTTGAAAAATTGTCACCTTATAGCCTCCCGCCCCCTCAGTCTCTTTTAATTTCTTCTGTTACGTCCCAAATCCAGAGTGTAGTCCTGCCTGCTATTTTCTGTTACTATAAATCCCAGGATTCCTATAGGGTTCCATGTTAGCTCCTATTCTTTTTTTACTATACACTAATAATCTTCACTCAGCGATGCAGTCCTCCATTGATCTTTGTTCCAGCCAACCTAAATAAAATATCAATGACTGAGTTCTTCTTCTCCACAATAAGATCTTGTAAATGTACTACAACTGAATGGGAAGAATCCAACGGGGTTTCCTTAAACGTCACTAAAACTAAATACTGTACATTGCCACTTCCTTGTCATGGGGGACTTTAACTATGACGACATCGACTGGAGAAAGGAGTCCACGCTAAATTACTTAAATAACCCCGCTACTCTTTTTGTGAAAACTCTGAGAGATAATATTCTGTTCCAATATGATAAGGACCCGACGCATTGCGGAGGGGAACAAACAAACACCCAAGCCACTGGACCTCATCTTAACAAACGATGAGGGTATGGTGGCCAAGCTGGAAATTGAGTTTTCAAAAATACAATCGCGTCTAGCATTAAAAATCCTACATCGATTTACACTTTCACATCATTAAGACGATCTTGATGTTCTTATGTAAGTTTTACCCATAAATATTTCTGCTGTTATCTCTTAATCCCTTAACATCAAAACTGAAACTTAGTATGATTATTTTTTTTATATATGTATTTAATTTTGTCCCTCGTCGATTTATTTTTTCTCGCCCCCTTTTTTTTATATATTGAGCAGAAAATATCCGTTTCGGTTACAAAGTTGAAGGTGTAATCTTGGAGGTCGGTCCCGCTGAAATTTGTTATATTTAATAATTTCAAACTGTGTATTTTTTATCATATGATATTCAGTGTTAATCGATTTGCGGATCATGTTCCGGGGTAATGGTTAGCCAGTGCAGTTGGCGAGTTGTCCGGTCTGCTCGGACTATTCCTTGACACTGGGTCAAGCAGCTTGTTAACTCAGGGTGTGGTTGTTGTGTTGGTTGTCACTATCTTCGCCATCCTGGGCAATGCTCTCCTAGTGGTCACCCTCCTGCGGCGCTCCCTCCTCCACCACCCCTCCAACAGTGGGGGGTGTTGGGGTTCAGTGGACGGGAGGCAGAACACTGTCATAGATGCTGGTGGCTGTGAGGTTAATAGTGTTGTGGAACTCGCCGATCATCCGGAAGACTCGTAGCACCACTAGTTCATCGGGGAAGAATGAGCGGATAGCTTCCTTGTAGTGGTGAACAACGAGCCATGAGTCCTCGATAACAACACTGGAGACGATGTCAAGGAAGGCAAGGGCGTGGTAGGCACAGGTGTGGAAGACAGGGCCCTGCACAATGGCATCAACTATAGTCACTTGCTCCTGTGGGATGTTGTGGATCTGCATAAACCGTCGTACAAGATGATGCATTGGTCGAGGTGTGGAGTCGTGGTACAGGTAGCGGCCGTCGAGGCAGCGGTACAGTGATACACAGTGGACACCGTCTTCGGGGAGGTCGTAACCGAGGAGCACACCCTCGCCCTCGGCCAGAGGTCCATCCTGGAGGATCTGGTAATGGTTAGCAAACCTTATGTGTGTGCCCAGGCGTCGTGGGGTCCCAGACAGAATCTCCTGGACATCAGTGTCCCGCAGGATTCGTACCAATCGGAAGTCCATGTTTTATCAACGCAAAATCAGCAGTTTGATTAGGAGGTAGATTATAAAATTGGCCTCTTGGTACTAAAAAGGTGTGAAATATGTAAAGTAATGAGGTTGGAACTTTTTTATAGTAAAGACGTGGTCATTTTGATAGTGAAGATGCAGTCGTTTTGAGCAGCTTTTTGGTTACTTTATAGTTGAAGGGATTCATTTAAGGTGTTATAAGACGGTCTAGTGTGTGTGTGTGTGTGGTGTAGTGGTTCTGGTAGTGTTGATGTATTGACTGTGGTGGGGGTAGCGATTATAGTGGTAGTGATGATTGTGGTCATAGTGATGATAGTGGTAATGGTGGTAGTAGTGGTAGTTGTGTTGTGATAGTAGTGGTAGTGATGATGGTAGTAGTAGTAATGATAGTGGTAATGGTTATAGTAGTGATGATAGTGGTAGTGATAGTAGTGATGATAGTGGTCATAGTGATGATAGTGGTAATGGAGGTAGTAGTGGTACTATGTTGTGTGATGGTGGTAGTGATGATGGTGGTCGTTAGTAATGATAGTGGTAATGCTGATAGTAGTGATGATAGTGGTAGTTGTGTTGTGTGATGGTAGTCATAGTAATGATAGTGGTAATGGTGATAGTAGTGATGATAGTGGTAGTGATAGTAGTGATGACAGTAGTCATAGTGATGATAGTGGTAATGGAGGTAGTAGTGGTACTTATGTTGTGTGATGGTGGTAGTGATGATGGTGGTCGTTAGTAATGATAGTAGTAATGGTGGTAGTAGTGATGATAGTGGTAGTGGTAGTAGTGATGATAGTGGTAGTGGTAGTAGTGATGATAGTGGTAATGGTTATAGTAGTGATGATAATGGTAGTGATAGTAGTGATGATAGTGGTCATAGTGATGATAGTGGTAATGGAGGTAGTAGTGGTACTTATGTTGTGTGATGGTGGTAGTGATGATGGTGGTCGTTAGTAATGATAGTAGTAATGGTGGTAGTAGTGATGATAGTGGTAGTGGTAGTAGTGATGATAGTGGTAGTGGTAGTAGTGATGATAGTGGTAATGGTGATAGTAGTGATGATAGTGGTCATAGTGATGATAGTGGTCATAGTGATGATAGTGGTAATGGTTATAGTAGTGATGATAGTGGTAGTGATAGTAGTGATGATAGTGGTCATAGTGATAGTAGATGGATAGTGGTCATAGTGATGATAGTGGTAATGGTTATAGTAGTGATGAGTAGTGTAGTGATAGTAGTGATGATAGTGGTAATGGTTATAGTAGTGTAGTGGTAGTGATAGTAGCGATGATAGTGGTCATAGTGATGATAGTGTAATGGTGATAGTAGTGATGTATAGTGGTCATATGATAGTAGTGATGATATGGTCATAGTGATGATAGTGGTAATGGTTATAGTAGTGATGATAGTGGTAGTGATAGTAGTGATGATATGGTAATGGTTATAGTAGTGATGATTGTGGTAGTGATAGTAGTGATGATTGTAGTCGTAGTAATGATAGTGGTAATGGTGATAGTAGTGATGATAGTGGTAATGGTGATAGTAGTGATGATAGTGGTAGTGATAGTAGTGATGATAGTGGTCATATTGATGATAGTGGTAATGGTTATAGTAGTGATGATAGTGGTAGTGATAGTAGTGATGATAGTGGTCATAGTGATGATAGTGGTAATGGTGATAGTAGTAGTGATGTTAGTAGTAGTGATGTTAGTGGTAATTGTGGTAGTGAAGATGGTGGCTGTAGTAGTGGTGGTCAACCTTTTGCAAGTATGCATTGGTGGAAATACGACCTGTGATTGGCTGATTTACAAACCAATTAGAACATTATAAACAAAACTATGGTGCGTCTTAACTAATTAATTATTTGTCGCCTATACGCCATCTTTGTTTTAACCACATAAATAATCCCCCACACCACACAGGTAAGTTAGGTAATTATTCTCCAATTAGTACACGTATTACCTGGGATAACATGGGACTAGCATAGCGGTGTTTTGGGCCTCACTAAATATCCTAAATTAATCAGGTAGTGTAAGAAGTTAGTTAATTGAGTCATGTCAACAAAAACAAGAATATATAATACAAAATGGCTGCGATATTGTCCTGAGACTGTAGTTTAGGTTTAGGAGGGAGATAGGAAGGAACTGGTTCACAAATAGGGTGGTGGACGAGTGGAACAAGCTTAGCAACTTTGTAGTAAGTGCGGGAACTCTGGAAAGTTTTAAAAGGAGGCTAGATAGATTCATGCACAGACCAACCGGCCTATTGCAGACTCCTTATTTTCTTATGTTCTTATGTACACCTTAAACAAATTCAGCCCTAGGTGGCCATCCTCCTTACACGAGGGGCAACCATTATTATTTCTCTTATCTTCTCCCTTTCAGTTTCTTCCCATTTTCTTTG